CTATTCAGCGTTACAAACCCCTCTAAGTTCATGTTATTACACCAACTTAGAAATACAGCACAATTGCAGCACTTTTTTCACGGGTGCATTTCCTCTCTGCATTTTTCAGATATACTTCTATTCGTTTGAAGTATTCCACACAGCCAAGTTTGAAGAATACCTCATCCCATACGTGTCCTTGGGAGTTGGGTTGTGTGAATGCTTATCCTCTATACTGTGTGTAAGTCTTTTCAGACTTGGGTTTGAAGGGAAAATTTAATGTGCTCAACAATTGTACTTTTCCTTACTTATAACTAGGCTTGGGGAAAATTTGTATAACCTAAGACACATCTTTCTGCTTCTGCAAAACCACATGCAGGATGAACGGCAGCTCTTTTCCCAAATTATTGCATGACTGTATGTCTTTAGACTCATCTTTATTCTGTAAAATAGTTTTCTGAAGTTCTGGATTAGATGTGTGTGTATGTGTGTGTGCAAAATTCAATATATACAGGCAAGTAAGAAAGGGAAGAACTGTCTAATAACAGCCTAGGATTGACTAATAAACACAGTTTAATTAATAATGAATTAGCTTTCAAGAAGCTAATAAAATTCGCTAGGAATTAAGAGATTCTCAAATGACATTGATTTCTGGTTATTATTCAGATAAGTCTTCTGCAAAGAATACATGGATAGGGGAGGAATTATTTCATTTGAGAACTGGGATTTATGACCAGTGTTTCCTGCTTTTCAGAGCACCCTTATAGACCGATTTGGGAGGAAGGTGCTGCTGTGGGGAGGATACACGCTGATGTGTTCCGTGCTAGCACTCCTTACCATGACCCTGTCACTGCAGGTAAAGAGGACCAGCCTTCTGGCTACTTACCCAGCATCAGCCCACCTTTCTCATCTTGCCTCACAGCATATGTACAAAAACTTGAGTTGGTGGCAGAGAATACAGAGCTATTCTGTCATGTATCTAACAGTTTGATATCACTGGTTTCTCACTTCTAGCATCAGTTTTTCTGGATGCACTACTTCAGTGTTATCTTGATCTTCCTATTCGTTGTCTTCTATGGAATTGGACCATGTGAGTATATCAGTGGCAATGCTGAGAAGATATTTTGTATCGTATTGGTTGGTGACACAGCTGACAGAGGAAGAACACTCTAGTCCCAGGGTACAAAATTCTAGAAATTACGGACAGAGTGGCAGATATGTACAACCAGGCGACAGGAAAAGGATAGACACCTCAAATTTTATTGCTGATCACAGATCTAAATAATTTAAAACATGGTATCATCTTCTCCAAAGGGTCTGAGATAGAGATTTCACAATTTTTTAAGTACTCAGCTAAAACCAGGGTTCTAGGCATTGCCAGGTACATCACAGTAATCATACTTTTTATTAACTTAGCAAATTAAGCTTTATGCCTACCAACATGCTTCAGATGGAACTGTCCACAGGAGCCAAAAGGGGTCAGTTTTACAAATTACTGCACTAATAATGGCTACCAGTTCAATATGGAACTGCATAGATCCGCTGGCACCAGGAAAAGGATTCCAGTATGTAGGAGAGAAACCTAAACTAACAGCTGAAGTTCTGAAATTAACAGCTGTGGTCCCTTTTCTGGAATCAAGGTCTTTCACCCACATAGCAGAGGCCACCTACCGGCAGGCCACCTATTCTGCCTATCCGACATTTTCTATCACTGCCATTGTAAGGATCTTCAGCAGAACAAAGGTGCACTGAGGAACTAAGGAAACACATATACCTAGTTTATGTTTTGTTTTTCTTTTTCAGCTGGAACCACTATATCCATCATGGTTGAAATCTTCAGCCAGTCATTCAGACCATCAGCCTTTCTGATTGTTGGCTGCATCAACTGGATGGGACTGTTTGTACTTGGGATGATTTTTCCACTGATTGTTGTAAGTGACTCTAACTGGATCCCTCCCTCCAGGCTAATCCACTTCTGAATGATGACAGGGAGCAAAATAATAGCAATAAATTGCAATGACATGCAAAGTTTAGAGCTCTGTCCAAATACTAACCTGCTCAGGAATCCCCCAGGCCTGTCAGAGGAGCAGCAATTGGACTCAGGTCAAACATAGCCAGTGGAAACTCCTAGTTTGATACTCGTCCTGGTTTGGTATTGAGCATACCAGTAAATTTTTATTACTAAGTTACAGACTTGCACCCAAGGGCAGGGAAATAGAAGTGAGATTTTTATTTTCCTTACAGTGTCTCCCATTTCTGCTTGCAGGATAATCTTGGACCCTTCTGCTTCCTTATCTTTTTGGGAATCCTTGCTTTATCAGCAATATTCATCTACCTGTATCTCCCTGAGACCAAGGGAAAGTCAATCATGGAAATAAAAGCAGAGTTCAACAAGCTAAATTTTGGAAAAAAAGAAACCTCAGTCACTGAAAATAACTTTCCTAAGGAACAGTTCTGCACCAAACTCTGAATGTCCAGAGGAGAAATTTGCATGTCTTAGAAAAGACAGGAAACAGTGTTGCAATAGAACTGAACAGGAAACATTAAAAACAGACTGCAAGCTCTTCTGTCTCTTATTCCTTTTTTCTTTTTTTTTTTTTTTAATATAGATATGAAATTCATTATGCTAGAGTTTTATTTCTTGCTGTTATCAAAATATTTTCACAGGAAATTTCATCACTCGGTTTTAAGATCTACTGGATATAATGAGACTTTTTCTAATTAAAAAACCCCAATTTTATGTTAGTCTACCTTATGAAGTTTTAAAAACATTTTGTTAACAGTTTATAGGGCCCAAATCTTGCTACAAGAAAGTACATACAGACTCTACTCACAGCCCTGGACCTACCACTCTGGGCCTCAGTTGGTCTCTTGTTCCCAGGAGTCCTGTCCAACGCTACAGGTACCTGAACAGTTCATTACTGAGCTTTCCTAAATGAGACCTCACTAGTTCTAAGCACCTCAGAATCAGCAAACTGCTGACAAATAGTTCAGAGAAGAGTATAAAAAATATGAAGGAACAAGTGACATAATTTAAGAAGACAAACCAAGGGAAGGAAGAATTGATTAAGAAGGCTAAATGATCACCTGTCATGACGATGGGGAAACGCAGAAGTCTATGTGGTTTAGGGTGATCAGAGCAGATAGGGATTCAAAACTTAGCACAGTAAATTAGGAAAAAGGGTTCCAACCATGCTAATAAAAAAAAATACTGAAAGTGAAATTGTAGTGTGCAACAGTCCTTCTGGAGGTGTCATGAAAATCTCAGTGGAGAACATCCTAGTAACCCTAGGCAGGGAGATGGACCTGCCAAACAGAGATATCATTGCATGCAAAAGTAGTGAAATGGCTCCTATAAAATAAAGCACACTCCCAAGAGCATCTGTGGTGTCTAAGGATCTGATTTCCAACCTGGTACATCAGCTTCTGGGAATTACATCAGATGTTTTCAGAGAAGAGTTTGTTTTGGAAATGTTTTTCTTGTTATGTAAGCAAGCTGCAAATAACGAGTGATTATTGTACCCAGCAGAAAAAATAGGTTGTGACGTTCATTGGAAATAGGGTCTAAGATTTTCCAAGTGATCACTAACAACTATAGTATGATTTGTAACTAAATGCTTTGGATCATGCTGCCTGCTTCTAGCTAATCACTGAAGAAGATTCATCAGCAATAAGCAGTTCCTCTCCTTACAGATGGAGCTGTCACCTGTGTTTGGTTTTAATGTTTTGATATAGGAAACATGCCCTGAAAATTCTGTTTGTACAAACGGACTTTATTTCTGGATTATTTTTCAGGATCTTTATTATTTTCAGAATGCTTCAGCTACAGGAGACACAATCCACTAACATGGGCTGTAGATTAATGCTTGCATATAGCAATTCATCTCCTGACTTTTTTATTTCTTGGCTTTTTACAGCAAGGATGCTACAGGGAAGAACTGACTTGAAATCAACATACACCACACAAGCAACTTAAGCATGTTCGTTCAGAGGTTATCACCATTTAAAAAGTATTTGTTTTAATTACGCTGTTGAAGTACAAGGATTTAGGGCAAGCTATGGAAAGCTCTCCTTCTTTTCCACAGGCTGAAGAACTGAGATTATAGAAACCCCTTAAATCACAGAAAATAGTGGGCATAAACACACCCATCACCTTTAACATGGAGAGATTAAGAAACCATTTATTTTATCCCCATCAGCATTTCCAACCTGCTTCCCCCCCCCATCTCACCGCAAACACTCCCTACCAAATGCCATATGATCTCTCTAAATCACTTCTCTTGTAAGACCCTACTAGGCAGCAAAGAGAACTGATCTCAACTCTGCCACATACTCAGCTCTGGATAAAACCCTTTCATTTCAAAAAGCCTGTGGATTTCCTATCTCCAAGAGCTCCTGTTGACTGTTATGGGACTATTTGCACAACAAAGGAGCAAGTTGAAAACAAGCCGCCCCTGAGTACTTAGAACCCAGCCCTTGCCACAGTGGAAAAATCAAGACTCTGATTTTAAGGCATTTTTGTCATGACTTAGACACAGTTCAGGGAAGGTCTCCACAACATGTGCTACTGAGGTTTTTCTCTAATGGCCTATTCCACAGAAAGAGTCCCAGACCTCACGGTTGAGGCATCCATCTAATTTTTTTAAATATGAGACTTACATAAAGCAGCACATTATAACTCTCCCACTCTTAAGCAGTCCCTGAAACACTTGCTTTTCACTGGTTTTCATGATCAGGTCGTAACCAAATATGAAGTTTAATTTTGGATGCTTTGATTTCCAGAGCGCAAAAAGCCCCCTCTCCCCGCTAGGGAAGCTGTGTTGACTATCTGCTTTAGCAGCCTGCAGACGGCACATGCAGCCTCGCCTCTCCCAAGGCACTCTCTCCCCTCCAGGCACACCTGAGGAAGGTACCACTGACTATTTAAAGGCTTCTGAGGCGCTTAGTAGTACAGTGGGGTAAACTGTCTTGCAGGTGCGTTAGAAGCAAAGGTGTGAACAAGGTGATCTGGATGAAAACTCGCTTACAATCCAAAGATGCCTAAATTCATTGTTAATACAAACATAAGCAAGGATAAAGTTCCCAAGTCTTTCACGGGAGACCTTACCCAACAGTTATCAAAAGCAATGGGCAAGCCAGCACAGGTAAGTCCAGATGCTCAAATGGTTTTTTTTATTTAGTCAGCTGTACCTCAAATGTTTTTTTTATTTAGTCAGCTGTACCTATGCAATGAGCTATTTAACAGTGATAGCCTCTATAAATTAATATACCTAATGACTTACCGATTTTGTCCTCTCTCTGCACAAATGTCAAATACTTGTTTGCTGTAACTTAGCTCTGAGGTCTTAAAACACTTGAAATATTTAAAAAATAGCTTTGTATATGATGGCATTTCGTGTAGGTCAAGACATGGGATATGTGGTGAGTATGTATATGCAGGTATCTCTGAACATCTCAAGAATCTAGCTGACTGAAACCTCATCCTCTTAACTTCCTTGCAGAGTCCTGCTCAGTCTGTTTGTTACATGCTACCAAATTGCCTGTAGCCTAGTGGTTACAGCAGAAGAAAGAAAATAAGGTATTCAGCTTGCTTGGACATCTAGCAAAAATACCCACGTGATATCCTGCTGCTTGTAGTCAAAACACCAGAGTAAATTCTGTCTGCTGGTTTCATTACCAAGCTGAGGGATTTTTACCTGCCAAAACCTATGGCAATAAGCTACTGAGGTGGAGTGCTGAAATACTGTCGTTAAGGGTCTTGTAAAGTTTTTATTTTCTTACTTAATCCTGAGAGGTCACTAGTCACTGTATCAGTTGCTTACTGAAGACTGTTGATGAATATGAAAAACAAAGTGAAAGCTGGTCTAGAGAGCTACAAGCTTTACAACATGAGCTACTCCTCAGCTGCTGCAGCAGCAGTAACTTAAATGAATTGGCTGTAGATCTGTAGCAGCTTGATGAAGTACTCCTACATATTCACTAGAAAATGAGTGTTTTCAGAAAATATTTCTTATTTTCCTTGGGTAGTGATACTTTGAAACCCTAGAAAGAACAAAGTTCTGGTGCCTACAAAAAGGATTGTGAGGGCTCCCTGGTAAACCTTTCTCTGCCCACTGGGACGCCTGAAGCTCTTGAGTAGATCTTTGCTCTTCATGGAAACAAAGTGCTCTGAAATGGGCATCTGACTGCTTCAGATGGCCACAGAAATCTCTGAACCCCCTAGCAATTGTTTGGTAACTGCCAGAGGTGGAAGTGCCCTAAGAAGGGGGAAAATGGACCCAAAATTAAAAACCAAATAGGATAACTGAAAATATTAGGACAAACTTTGGTATGTCTTAAAAATGGTAAGAAAACTGTGAGCAGCTGGCCTGGTTTTGTCAAAATCAGGATCATTTTAAACAGTCCCACAGTAGTGTCTTGTGATCAGATCTAGTCAGTGCTTCCCATGATGGCTCAGTGGAGCAAGATGTGCAGGTGGCCATAGCTTGTATGCACAGGAGACAGTAAGAATTCAAGAACATAGTAAGAGATATGTTCTCAAGTCAAGAAGCTTTCCTTCAATAGCTGATTAATAAGCCAAACTGCACAGAAGACAAATAACAATTCATTAAAGAGGAAAGGATTTAGGGAACTATTATGGGTTACATAAATATGAATTAAGACAATGCTTGGGAGCAGGGGCGGTTCCCTTCTGTTGGCCACGAGGCAGAAGTAAGCCTCAGGTGTAGTACTCCATCCAGTCTCAGGCCTTTTACTTTGAGAAAGAGGGAGGCAGGTTAGAGATGCACCAATGGAAAATGCTAAAGAAATAAGATAATGCAAGGATCAGTAGGCACTGGCTCCTCTAAGAGAGCAGGCTAAAGAGGTAAGCTGTTATGGAAGAGACAGGAACTTTTTTTTCTTCCTCAGTGACATAAGGCAGAAAGCAGCCAGCTTCACTTGCAGCAAAATATCAGCTAATTCTTGGAGGAAAATTTTAAAAGATCCTGTGATTTCCAGTCAGGCTTGGCATTGGACTTGTGCCACAGATCTCACCAGTGGTGGGATGGTAAATAGTACTGACACTTCTTTCACCAATCAGATTCTCAGGTCAACACTGATAATTAGAATATTTCTATTTGTTGGATGGCTGTAGACTTTAAAAGACAGTTGGATGTTGTTGGATGTTGTCATCAAATTGATTTGGTGCTGAGTTAAAAAGCCAACTGACGTAGAACCAGGCTTTTCCACTATGTCTCTTCCAGGCAGACCATTTGATGTCTGATAAAGGGGCCCCTCTGTCTCTAGGGACAGTAATGGCGTTCTATGTGATTGATCAGTCTCATTAAACATGTAGGAAATCAATCTCTGTCAAATTTGACCGAAGTTAGTTATCTTGGGGAATAGGCAGAAGCATGTTTTAGGCTTGTATAAGCCTCATCTCCAGAAAGCAGGCTTAACTGTAAATAGGAGTAGGATTATATTATTTTTTTTCCCAACACATGCAGTAATATAATGAAATTCTTATGTAAAACTGATGTGTTCTATCCCTATTAAAAAAAAAAAAAAAAAATCAGTCTATCAAACAAGTACTTGCTTTTGGGGGGGAGGGGGGCTGTCAGCTGGTGGTTCTTGCATAACAGCTCCTGAATATAAAGCTAGAGGCCAGGACTGGGATGCAGCTGGAACAGGTTTGTGCAGCCGTGTGGAAGGGATATGTAATGGGACTTAGAAATATACAGGGAACAACAAAGAGATTTTTTTGAAGAGGACATGCAAGCTCTTCGTGACAAAGGAGGCAATAGGAAAGGGAGAGTCTCTTAGTTATAACACAGAAAGAAGGAAAGGATTAGGGTGGGCTGGAATGCAGAGCTTTCCTCTCGCAGGAAATGGTACCATTTGGAAAAAATACTGATTTTTATTTTTAATCAAATAGGGTTTTTTCTACTGGAAAAACTGTTTCAAACATCTTTGAACTGCTCTAAGAATGTTGATTAACACTTCAGCTTGACTTTTTTAAAATAATAATAATCTGCTTCAAGGGTGGATGTTCAAGGTGTACATGTACCTACAGTTGGTAGAGCACAGAGCGTCCAGCCAGGGGAGAACTGGGCCAAGCAAGTGGTACCTCAGCAGGATCTCCGTGGCTTACCATGCACTGCTGTGGCCTGATGCACCTTGCGCCCAACCAAGCTATAAATGATGGCCAAGACTAATTACCCAGACAGCTCCTGGTACTCAGGCTAGCTTGTTTGACCAAGAGGGTTAATTGCTGCTCAGTTCCAATGATGCGCTGCTAATAAACGTGGGTAAGAACAGAACAGAAGCCAGATGGATGCCAAAGGAACTGATCCCTGGATTCCTCCATGTGTGGATCTGACACTGTGTATTAGCAGCAGGGAAAATTGCAGGCTGGTCATTAATATTAACATAGATACTTTCTTCCTTTTTTTTTCTGCTACCAAGAACAAAAGTAGGATTAGGCTGTATTTTGTTTAATGAGGGGGATGTTGATTTAGACCTCTGCTGTGTCAGCTCACATTTACCTCATCAGGGAAGACTGCAGTGGGAGCCAGTGAGGTGTGAAATCTCTCTGGAACGTAAGGCAGCAGCAATGCAGTTACACACTGCCACTAGCACCCAGCCTTCCTGCACAGGCCGGGAGAGCCCAGTGCCTCCGAGGAGGTTCTGGAGGTATTGCAGATCACTGAGCTCTTGGAGCACCTGAACTTTCTACCCCAGATTTCTAGTAAAGATGTTACTGCAGGGTCCTCCTAACAGTGTACCTGGGCTGAGCATCCAGAACCCATCTTTCAGTAGGTAATTGGGCACACTGGGATTGAAGGTTTCAGGACAGCAGGCAGGGAAGGATCTTTGCCACAGAGTAACTTAAGAACAAGGGTGAAACTACTTGCATTTTAGTAAGTGATCAAAAGCATCTCTGAGTGCCTGGGACTGCTTTTTTATGTGCTGCTAGTACTTTTAAGTGTATAGATGAAAGGATTGTGATGGCAGTGCCTGTTCCCAAATGGTGTGTCATGGGAATGTGATTGTATTTCATACCTTGTCATCTCTGACTTGCAGAAAAATATTTAGGAAGACTGGAAGTGCAGTTTCAGAATTTCAAAAGCATAACTGATAGGCTTGCACCTATTTTCACTGCAGTTTAGGTACACAGATACCTTCCTGCACTTTCAAAACTTTTTCTAACATGGCAAAGGAAAATAATATTCTCTTCTTCTTTCAACAGTATCTAGCAATACAGATCTCTCCTGATCAGCTGATGTCCTTTGGTGGCTCCACAGACCCTTGTGCTATGTGCTTTCTCTACAGCATTGGAAAGATAGGGGAGCAGGAGAACAAGGTCTATTCCAAATTGCTTTGTGACCTGCTGAACAAACAGCTGAAAATACCATCTGACAGGTGAGCTTATACAGCAGCTTCTCTGACATGACTTTCCACAGATTGTTAAAACTATTAATCCCAGACTTGTCCTTTGGTGTTCTTCTATTAACCTTCTGCTTGAAGAGGCTAAATGCCAAGTCAATAGAACAACCCTCCAATTAAAAAGAGGAAAGGAGAAATTGCATAAGCGGCAATGTCAATGCCCAGAAGCTGTAAAATTTCTCTTAGTTAAAATGATGGTGATTCAGGCACTGCCTGAACCCACAGATCTCATGTGCAAAAGCCCAGGTACAGACACAATAACCTGACGATACTAAACTGATAACTTGTACTAACACTTCCCTACTGCCTGTGGGGTACAAGTGGAGGTTTATTACAAAAGCATCCACTTACATAAAAGCATTTCCAGTCCTCATCCTGAAGGTACACCAATCTGTTCCAGAAATTACTAAATAAAACAGCATCCTCAGATGTCCTTAAAACAAGTAGAAAAATACCAGGAACTCCAGAATGCAAGTAGACAAGGCATTAAAAGGGTGGGTGGGGGATGTGGAATATTTAACACTCAAACCTACCTGCCAGCATTCGCAAAAAAATAAATGCATAACTTGCTGAGATGCAGTGCAGGCCTGAGAAGTGTAAAGCCCTGGGGAACACTCTACAGCGTGGTTGTGTCCTGCTGCAGAACACCCTGGCCTGCCTGCAGTGCCCTCCTCTCAGCAGCTAATGGTGTTTGTCTTCCCTTTCAGAATCTATGTCAGCTTCTTTGACATCAGTGCTGGCAATGTGGGCTGGAACAACACCACCTTTGCTTGAGGTGCCCTCGGGTGGTAAAAGCTTATTCCTGGACCCTCACCCTGGGTTTTGAGCCCTGCAGTTCTAGTCATGTTACCAGTATCTGGCACAAACGCAAAAGGCAGTGGTTCCATACTTGCTGCTACCTGCTGCTGTTTAACGCTTGTCTGCTTCTTAAATAAAAGTAAAAATACAGCAGGAGTCTCATTATTGTACCTGTCTTTGTTATATAGGAAAGGCCTGTGGTTAAGATGGAAGATGCTTTCTCAAAATGCTCTTAACAGAGGCTTTTCTTTTTTAAAAACAATTTAGCCTTGTGTGAAAATGAACACTCCATTTGAGTATGCCTTTGCCCTGTTTATGCTGGACAGCCTGTCCAGATTTAAATACAGCTGTCTTGACCTGATTTCAAAATACACTTATGTTTAAGTCAATAGATGTGGCTGTCAATGTGGCATACAGCCCTTCCTTCAAAGAGAGGAAAGACATGACTGCCTTTTAAATAAAAGGGATGGATTGCAGTCCAGGTCCTCCTTAGATCTGAACACTGCATGGACATCTAACTGCTTACCAGAAAAACTCATGTTGAAAGAGTCTCCCAGGGCTCAGGATAGGCAGAGGGAGTTAAGTGGAAAAACCCACTGTTCACTGTTCAGCCCCTCCCCTTTTAATCCATCGAACAATTTGCAGTGACAGTGGAGATTAGAGCACAGCTCAAAATGAGGCAGAGGCACAGTGAGCCATTCCCAGAGGCCAAAGTAATGAATTACTTACAAAAGGAAGATTTCCATATAAATTTTTTATTCAAGCCCTGGGTCAAATAAGAGCATTTGCTTCCAAAGTGAAATAGAAAGATTGGGTACAGATCTGTCTCTTGAATCTCTCAAATTAGGCATATTGTGACTTTTTTTCTTTTCTGGAAGAACAAACCTACCACACCCCTGTTCTGAGCTCCATCACGAACATCCCATTTTGTTCCTATCACAGCTTTACTTTGCAGCCATAGTCTTTAAATACAAGCCTGTACCTCAATCTGCAAAAATGCTTTGCTGAGATAACAAACGAAAGCTGCTTAGGCGAATCAAAGCACCACAGCCAATGAAGTGATGTGCTACTTGGCATCTAAATACAGTATATCTTAGTGCCTTGCAGAGCTGCCCAAGGAAGTCATGGCACTAGGTAGGTAGTCTTTTGGCAGAATTGCTTGTGGAGAATGGCTGTGAAGCCCCTAAACACAGCATGGTTTTCCATGAGGAGGCAGTTCCCTTTTCCAGAAATCTATCTTCTTCATAGAGCTACCTGCTCAAAGAGCGCTGCCTCTGCCTGTTCTGGCAGACACAGCAGCAGCAGTCTCTGATCTCCTCCCTAGTCCAGTTGCTCTGTGCTCAGGTTTTGACTGTGATGAAGCTGGGTATGTTACAGCTGCAACCTGTGAATGCCCCAGCCCTGCCATTTCCAGTCAGCCTCCAGGAAAGGCTTGAGCCTGCCCCACATATCTTCCGAAACCTTTCTATGCTAGATGATTTCTGTTATCCTCAGAGCATGTAAACTGTGAAATGTGTGTTCCTAAGGTACCTCATGGCACAAACAGAATTAAGATCATCTCTACTTGCTAACAACTCTTACAGTATCTACTAGAGAATGCAAAGCTTTCTTTGCCTCTGTCTCTGGCACATGATTAGAACGCTCTTTAGTATATTTCTTTAAAACATTTTACCTTTCAGTTTTTTGCTTTTAGACACATTTTGTCATTGTTATTTTAAGTACAGGCAATTGTGTTTTAAAACAGACGCTGTTAATCCAGAAAATGTATTATAGATGCATAAGTATGGAGCAATCACTTGAGGGAGGGGTGTGAGCAAGTACAGTGGTATTTGGTTAACATCTAAAAATGCATCTTTAGAAGCTAGGAAAATGTACACACTACTGCTTCTTTAGTCAAGGAGGCACAGGAGAATGAAACTGTGGCTGTCTCTCCATTGTGAGGCAGCAGGGCCAGGGTCTGCTACGCTGGGCCTGGTAGGCCACAGAGCAAATTCACTGGTGATGCCAGAATTCTCACCCCACCTCCATGCAACCACTCTGGGAGGCAGGAAGGTGGGAGGAATAAATGGCACTACACAGTGGTAGGGAGCTGACAATATTAGTTCTTAATAGCACTGTTAAATACTAGAAACCTAAATGCTCCAGTCGTGCCAGTTCTCAGCGTTCCCATACAATACCATCCCTTATTCTTCTGTCGGGGCTCTGTGTGTTGTGTTCACATGTGTACGGTTAAGCTTCCTAGCAGCATCAGTGCTAGGACTTTGTTAAAAATCAACACATGCTCGATTTCTGTATGTAAAATGTCTGTGGAGAGGGCTCCGGGCCTGATTCTCTTTAGACTTCCCATGAGTCATTTCAAGGCCCGGCAGGGTGGGGAGCTGTGCCCTCTGCAGCCTACGTGCACGGCATCACACAGCCCTGCGTCAGGCTCATCTCAGGCTGCCTCTCACCTCTGAAGAGACATGCACCGTTTCATTTCTAAGCAAATACAGATCACTTCTGCCTTTTTCCAATAGAAAAATATGAAAATGAGGGTGCAGAGGAGTAACAGATCGCTTTTAATTTGACTGAAAAACGTTAGAGAATATCTAACACGCCAGCAAGTCTGCTGTTTCTGCTTACACTGTTAAAGCTATGTGCCCAGAAAACGCAAAAACGTGCCTTTATTTTGCAAGAGAAAAAAAAAAATCCCTTCAGCGCCAGGGCTAATATCCCTTTTTGCAACTGCCAAGCTGGGGCCTCTAAACCCCTTTTGGCCCTGATCCTGCAAAAGCCAGCGGGGGCGCGCCGGCGGCCGCACCACATGCGCTGACACCGGGTTATGCCGGAGCTGCCCAGCGGCGGGACTCGGCCAGGGAGGGACCTGCAACACCCGCTCCCCACCCGCTCCCTGCGCGGAACGGGGCACGCGAGGCTCGGCGGGGCGGTTCTGGCCGGGACGCTGCCGCGGGAGGGCAGCCGTAAGCCGCCGCGAGGGCAACGGAGGTGGGGGGTGGCCTTCCCCTCCCCT